CTTCTTATCGCTTCAGAATATCATGAAAAATTTCCTATAATTTTCTGCAGAAAATGCAAACTGTGTGGATCTTTGAGGTAAAGATCAATGTTCGCGTAATATATGAGGAAAAAATAGCATAGTATTATAAAAGCGAACTAAAATACTGGTCTTACCTTGATCGCCATGGTCCCCTCTGATGCCAGGCTCACCCGTCATGCCCTCTTCTCCAATGGCTTCTGCACCTAATTCTCCTTTAGGACCTCGCTTTCCTGGAGTACCTAAAACCAGTAAATAAAATCTATTGATATAATATCTTTTTCGGTTTCTCAGAATTCATTTCAACTAAAATGGAAGTCAGTTACTACTTCTTTTCTTATGCCAGATATCACTTTTGAGTGATAAAAAGTAAAATTTACAATGAAATTTTTAGAAACCTATATAATAGCAGGATTGCCTACTTGACATAATATGGACAATTATTATGATTCTGCACCACGTAAAGTTCCAAGCTGATTATTTTTCAAATTTTACTTAACCCGATGAATTCCAAGTGTTTAAAGTAAAATTCACGCTATTACATTGCCATATTTTGCCCATTTATATAAAATATGTAAATATTTTAGAATCTTTGACAGAGACCATTCTAGTATACCGTGAATCTCTGTTGTCTTCACTAGCTTTTGGCACATTTATAATGAACACAAACATGATACAGCGCATATATACTTACCTTATTACCTATCTATTCTCTTATATTATTAATAGGTTATCACTTCCGAGCTGCTCACCTTTGTCTCCCTTTATACCTTTAATGCCCAAAATTCCAAAGCGTCCAATAGAACCCTGTTCACCTCTATGGCCAAGTTCACAGTCACTTGGCTCTGGGCCTATAACTCCTTTGTCACCTTGTTTGCCGGCTGGCCCAATATCACCTTGCTCTCCTTGCTCTCCCTCCAAGCCAACAGAGCCTTGGGGCCCGCGAGGACCTGTAGGGAAAGATAAAGCAGATTTTACCTCAAACGAATATCCTCTAGTGATTGTCGGTTAAAATTTGCTGGCTTGTTACTGTGGTAACTGTAATGGTAAGAGAATATAGTGGAACCAGGGAATAAAATTACAATAAAAGTGTAAAGCGTTCCTAATAAAATGCGTCGTTTGCCAAGTAAATTGTAAGGTGTCCTGAAAGCTCGAATGACCGAGTCTAGAAGAGGATTATTGTTCTGAATGCTCAAATAAAACTCACGTAAATAGTCCACTTAT